ATGAATTAGAACTTCCTCGTTCTATGAAGGTCCACCCTGTATTTCATGTTTCGTTACTGTCGCCGGAAGCCATTGATCCCCTACCAGGACAACAACAGTTACCACCACCACCGGTCGAAGTTGAAGGACAGGAGGAGTGGGAAGTCGAGAATATTTTGGATTCCAGGGATCGTCGAGGAAGATTTGAATACTTGGTTAAGTATGCCGGTTATGACGAAGCTTCGTGGCAGCCATTGTCGGATGTCGAACACTCGCCTGATATTGTCAAACGATTTCACGAACGATATCCACGGAAGCCTAAGCCTACCAGGAGGTAGGCCGTAGAGGGGGGAGTGGTCTGTAACGGCAGCTAGACGGATTGGCTATGTGAGTTGTCTGGGTACAAGGGAGAAGGATTATGCAGTGTGGTTGGGTTTAGTGAAGTGGGTTTCTATTATGTTCTATTTGTTTCTGTTACGCGAGGGTATGAGTCAGCATTGGGATAGGGTATGGATATATAAGGGGGGCGTTGTCTCGTGATTTCTTGTTTCTCTTTCTTTCTCTTTTCTCTTTATGCAACCTCTGTACTTTACAGTCACGAATACTATTTGGTTCGCGCTACGTCATAGGGTTTACCCGGTATACTAGACCAGGTACAACCATCCATAGTCCATAGTCCACAGTCTCCGTTCTTGCCTTAGGTGTACCCTTCGGCCCCATAGTCCATAGTCCACGAACTTCCTACGTCCACGTCTTCGCCTCGGTTGTATTCCTTGGCTTCATAGTCCCTACGCCCATAGTCCCCGTTAGACAATCGGAGCAACTCCTTCCTTCGCCCAACTATATTTCTACGATCCAGAATATTCAGCACAAGTACAACATGCAACACATCCAACTTTAGATATTATGGTACTTCAACGTCTCACCATGGAGTTAAATTCAATAAATCCGTTTATTGAATTTTATAAAACAGCAAAAGAAAGATTGGATAATGCTTCAACACAAGATGGGAATGCACGCATTATACTTAATCCACGTCTTCAATTGATAGTTGAAACAGGAGCAGACAAACGACGAAACAACTTTCCTACAAGTAACGAGGTGGCGGTAATAATTTTTGATGAATATGAAGAAGCTGGATTCCGTGATATCGTATTGGCACATAGAAATCCATTGCCAAATCAAATGTTCAGTATCATCAATCCTAACCATGCTGCGTATATGCCATTGCATTACGTATTGCTTTTTCCAAATGGGGATACCGGTTGGCATTGGAGTTTACAACTTCGAGATCGATTGAATAATCGGAAAGTATTGCGTTTAGGTCAACGTGAATTTTATCGGTATGTTTAATATATTATCATAGAAATCATTACTAACTTATTACAAAGCTATCATATTCATTCACATTCAACCGAGCCTTTAACACTATTTCAATCTCAAAACCTTTTTCAGCAATATTTGGTTGACGCATGGGCTGTATGTGATCAGAACAAACTAAATTGGATACGTTTGAATCAATCAAGACTACGATCCGATTTGTATAATGGCCTGGCCGATGCTATGCTTCAAGAAGACTTCAATCCAGAACAAACCGGACGGAGAATAATACTTCCTAGCAGCTATAGCGGTGGTGATCGTTATATGCAATAATTATACCAGGATTCAATGGCTATCGTAAGACACTTCGGAAGACCTTCACTTTTCATCACATTTACAGCGAATCCTAAATGGTCGGAAATCGTTGCAGAGTTACTTCCAGGTCAAACAGCTGTCGATCGTCCAGATCAAGCACTTCGACATATGTAAGACATTTAAACCACTACACTAGGTAGCAATAGCTATGCAATATAATTCTGGAAGTTTATATGAAAGCAAACTCCATTAAATTACACATACTTTCAGCTCACTGGCACTGGCATCGGTACTGTAAAAACCGGACTCACCACATCCAACCGCCCTTCCCAAAATTTGATCACATTCAAGCTCACACTTCGCCCTGGCGAGGTGGCCAACTGCTAGTGTTATGTACCCGATTTGGCCAATTGAAGGTGGTTCGCCTTTACTCTGCTCATGCAATCAGTCGTAGTCCGCCTTAAGCTCGACCCAAAGCTTTGTAACACGACAAGGATTTCGCAACCACTCCAAGTCGAATCCACACCGAAGATCCTCGCTCCGATATGTGTCCTACCGGTCGCTCACAGTATGTACAACACTATGAGAACTTTAGGTGAGTACCTATTGCAATACTATCATGTACTTGGCACCTTGGTTGATTGGCTTCACCGTAATCGACCCGGCCCCCAAACAATTTTTCTTTCACTTTTTCCATAATGCGGCCCCCAAAGACTAATGCAGTGAACCATTTCTATAAATCATTTTAGATAATGGAAATACAACCATTCGTTTAACCGGTTAGACGTCTTCACTGGGGTATGGTGCTCACGGGGGTATGGTGCAACAACTGATAACGTCAAAAATGAGGACAGAATATATGAAGGATATCACCAAACAAAGCATATCCCTTGGACGGATGAAAGTGGTCAAATTCGCGACCTACCTCTTTCAGCTATCACTAGCTTTCTGTGGTAAATGTTGCTCATTCTTGATTGGCTCTGTTGTTATAAACCGTAAAAAGCAAGGCAATTCCCTTACTAAATGGTGCACGGTCCAGGTCGCGAATTTGACCACTTTCATCCGTCCAAGGGATAGATGTAATTCTCTGTATCAAATAAAAGCTTCTGCTGTCTTGAGTTTCTTGATTTCGTCGACTGCTTCTCGCGATCAAGGAAAGCACCATACTCTCGTGAAGGCGTCTAGATCATCATCCTCTGCTGGAAATACATGTTTAAATTGGAAACAAATGTGAACCCACAAACAAAATGGTCTTCAAGACACGTACGGTTACCATCACAGGATAAGAGGGCATATGTATGTACATATGTACAGCTATACCTTGCTATAAGAAACCTTACTATAAGAAAGACCTTGCTGTAAAAAACAGCGCATAGGGTACACGCTAACGACTCTACACCAAAATCTTACTTGCTATAAGAAATATTAGGGGTATTTTTGCTATAAGAAACGAAATTGGCTGCACCTTGGCGTTTCTTATAGCGAGGTGTAGCTGTACGTACATGTATTCCCTAATAGTAATTAAAGGCATGGGTCAAATATGTGTAAACGTACGTATCTTAATAAGAATGCTATCTTAAATGCCTTGATTAATGGACTTGCTAAAATTGTTTATATCGCGTCGGATTCGTACTATTAATCAACTAAATGGCCGACTGCGAAACTAACTTTTGATTAACGGAATCATCGGGCTTTTGTTTTTAGATCTTTATTCAGATAACCAGAGACTTTTCATGATCATAACTCTTTGGCCCGTGCGCCTGCATCGCATTCAGACTGCAAGTAATCGTAAAGGTGTATTTACCGTAGGTACGTTACATTGGTGGTGTCGGTGAGTGAGGTAAGACCACTGGTGGAGTGCCGTTGAAACTTACCGAAAGCCTTGTTTCTCGACTGAAATTGCGTGAATGTTAGGATTGCAGGACTAATGGTTCCTTCCTGGTTATCAAGATCGAAGTCGAGACGATAACAGCGTAAGTTCCAGCGGTCAAGTCAACCGGCCACGTCTATTCTAACCCACCTATGTTGAGCACAGTATCTACCCGTTTCCCCACTAAACGTCAATAGAGCGGTACATCCATCTCCGCATCCTACTGGCTAGAGATCTCTCTACCACACACTCCCTCCGCAACGGTAGATAGAAGTAAACGATCGGCCCCCGGCCCCGGCCCCGTACGATTTATCTCCCGAGGAGGGAAGAAGGTAAGGTTGTTTTGGGTAAACCCGGTAAAATCAACCGTAGCTTAATCTAGGCTTCCGTGCCATGGTTCTTTTGCGAGTAACAACGCCCCGAGATGCATGGTGCAGTCAGCGTGGTAGGCTCCTTGGTTGTCCCATGGTACATTTCAAGGGAACGGTACGGGCCTAGCTAATCTATCTGCTGTCTCTCTGTCTGTCGGAACCATTATGAGATCGAACTAGAAAATTCTTCGGGGTACTGGTGCTGGCTACATTCGGGGTTGGATCCAGTTGATGATTAGGTAGAGTGAAGTAGAGATGTACCTAGGCATGATTGAGCACATATCACAATATGTAGGTGAGTACTCTAGAGTACGAGTAGAGTAGCGGACATTGGGTACATGCACATACATGTACTCTACGGTACATACCATGATATTGTGAATGGGTGGGGGGGATTAATTTTGAAACCTGGCGCTGAGATGCAAAGATGTGGTGATACCAGATACAGACGGCTCCCCGTACCGTAGGTAGAGCACCCTTCTTTTCCCGCCTATTTCCCGGGTCTCTGCATGCACCATAAAGACTGGAGTCCAGATTTTTCAGGAAAGAAAGCAGAAGAACAAGAGGAAGACGATAAAAAGAAAAGAAAGGTACGCGAGATGCTTGCTGCATGCTGGTTACCGACAACAAACAAGACAGCAGAAGCAGTGGTGTATTTCTACAGGAGACTAGCTAGGGGTGGTCGATTGCATTGATTGGTACGTGCTCTGGTGCAGTATGCACTATATTTGAACAGCAAACAGCACCTTGTTATACGCGGCACTTCTCCTAGCCAATCAAAGTCTCTTTTGCGAGGAGCCGAAGAAAAGAGCCATCCTTGCGCTTAGCGCTTAAACGGTTTATCTACTTGTTTCATGCAGATGTCTCGCGGCATCACGTACTATCACTCCACTTGGATCGAGTGGTACTCGGTTTTATGTGTATTTGCCCATTTGGTTTCAGAGGGTTTAGTAATCAATTTTTGTTCTAATATTAATCAACGCACGCAAGGGATTTTCAGCCCATTAAGATTCATCCACAAAAGTATGGTGTAACTATATTTTCGAAGTCCTGATCCTCAGAGCAATTCTGTCTCGACATAATTAAAGTCCTAAGACAATGCCTCTAAGCTTAGCTAACTTAATTATGCAATTAAAGGGGAAAAATCATACCGCAGGCACAAGCATCGGCAACCCTAACCCAGCTGTCGAATACACGCCGAAAAATGACCCTGTGAATACCTGCCACCCCGGCAAATACGCCTGTAACCATTGGTTTTCTACTTCTGCGATATATGTTGGCTGTCCATTACCCGTGGCATATCCAAGTGAGTATTTGGACGGTTCTGCCTTGATATATAGCTTCACTGTCCCAGTTTCTGGGATCTCTGCGTACGTTGTATTTAGTGATGCATCTACCCCCGTGCGGGTCTTTGCTGCAATAACTCGCTTTTTAGTCTCGGGGTGGAGTGTGATGGCTATCTCATTGTGGTAATGAATAGAAAGAAATATTGTGACGCCTGCCTCATGGCGGGGATTGGTAGGCTTAAAGTCAAGCTGGAGGTTCGTTAATAAGTTGCGCCCATACACATAAACATGTATATATATATATTAATACTGGCATCGTAGGTGAAGGTTTTTCGTAACGTACCTCAGTACTCCAAACGGTTCCCAAGTCTACCTGTTTTCGCATCAGAGTAGCCGGAGTCTCCCTATCACTCAGCGTATATGGATTCCCTAAAGTTACCAAATCAATCTCTGACAATTAAAAGCGCTTTTGTATACTTTTCTTTTCTCACCTTTGATTCTAAGCCATCCCGGTCTCTCATCCAGGCTATAAAACTTTTTATAGGGTGTTCTCGGAGTGTAATAACCCTTATCTCCCAACTTTCCACCGAAATCATCTCTCCACTTCTTCGGTCTCTCAAGATCGTACAATCCTGGCATCTCAAACGTGATATCTTTTCCATTATTAATCACCGGCCACCCATCTACCCACTTCATAGAGGCCATAAACGTCTCCCGGCCTAGCTGATTCTTGCCAGTGCTGTTGGCAGGATTTTGGGGACGAGTTCCTAGGAAGACAGCGTACCAATCGCCGGTGGGGGTGCTAACGAAATCGGCATGGCCAGTGGCTAGAATCGGATTTGACATATTGTGCCCTGAGGACGCCTGTTTAACTTACAGTGAATTATAAATATGATTAAGGACCACATACCATTGTACAATATTGGATTCTGCGGATTTGCCTCCCAAGGCCCGTTCAGGCTTCTTGCGCGGGAAATCATAGCCCTATGACCCGCCTCGGTACCCGCCTCCGCTGTTAGCAAATAATACCAGCCTTCTTGCTTGAACAAATGGCTCCCCTCCGCAAGCCTCGGCGTATTCAGCGGCAAGTCACTGACATGGAAGAGCCTGGCTTCGCTAAGCGCGTTGCCGGTTTTAATATCAATCTCAGAGATCCAGATTGCGAAGTAACCGGAGTCGGGGTCGGCGAATTGGGAACCTAGGGTAGTGGTGAGATAGGTGCGGCCGTCAGTATCGAAGAAGAGGTCAGGGTCAAATCCCCATCTGAGACGTTTGTTAGTTGGTGCTGGGTGTTTAGGAAATACATTATGGTCAGGGCGCGCGGGTAAGAAATGCTTACTGGTCGACATAAGTTGGATCGCTCCAGGATGTTTCATCCCAAATGTTTTTAGTCGTGACGTAGAAACTTCGAGGGGTATGTGTTACATTCTTCACGCATAGTCATATTAAGCTCGGCCTTAATGCAAGATATCGAGAGAGTAGGGAAATAAAAAAGCGAACCCTCGATAACGTACATCTGGTGGACTGATAATATCAAACAGTGTCGTGATCATATAATACGTTCTTGTCTGCTCGTGATACCTCAAAGTGGGTGCGAAGATACCACCACTAGGGGCAGTACCTCTTAGATTCAATTGCGAAGGCCGGTTCAACGCATGACCAATGATTTTCCAATTGACTCTACACGCGGAATATATAGTCAGCTACTGCTCCGGTGGAGTAATTAGCTGTCGGGTGGGGATATTTCACAAATCAATGGAATGGTATATGGGAACTCCCGGGAAGAACTCAAAAGTTGAAATTGCGAGGAAGTAGTCTTTTCCGACTCTCTGGATTGTAGGATCTGGATTAAAACCGGGGATGATAGGGTTCCGGAAGGCGTGTGAGATACCTGTAGGTAATTCTCCATGTATTAGCACATGTATGCAGGCACGTGCACCTATAGAAAACAAGTCTAGATGTAAGAGTGACAGATTGTAACATACGTAGTATAATTGTGGTAAGAGTAATTAAAAACCCTCTGTTCCTGATAAACGTCCGCATCAGTACTTCGAACGCGCGTATATATACGCAGAAAGATGATGCCTAAGTACTACACCGAACATGTCGCGACGAGGCGGCGGATGAAATAGGCTTCATATATAGACGGATTTCCATGTCAAAATTGCGGGGAAATTGCGTGCTGTAAATCTGATTAAAGATATCCACTTTAACCACCTTCCGCCGGTATGAAATATGTACACCTAACAGTTACATACCAATTCTTCAGCCTGAAACTGGGTTATATACTTGTAGCCTGAAATGCATGATGGGATGGTTAGCTACATGTATGTATATAGCTAGATACATGTACCTACATATAGAGCCTAATGGTCTTTTATTCAATAGATTTAAAGTACACACTACGTACCCCGGCAGGAAAAACCCCACATTCCCAGGATGATAGAACCCGGGATTGATGCGCAATGAGCATCGCACCAGATTTAGATCGGGATGTTTGGGGGGGGGGGGGGGGTTCTAACTCCTTTTTATCGAACTGCCTAATATAATATTATGTAGGTACGATATAGATCTTGGCAGTAAATTTACAAACATGTATGTATCGTACGGCCTACAAAGGGTGTGGTAAAATTATTGTAGAAGTATGGGAAGAGTCCTATTGGCCGAGTCAGCCACTTAAACCCTGTTTTTACACCCTGGTTTCTACAATATGTAATTCTACCTCTCGAAGTACACTGACTTATACTTACATGTAGCTTAATTACATGTTCCTACAACATAGAGTAGCTACATCATGTACACGTAGTACATGTAGTTTATGGGTTCTCGAGTTGATCAATTACCCAATTAGGAGAACTCAAAACTTCTAGCCCTAAAACCAAATCCCAGCCTCCAAGATCCATGTACTCCTAGACATGTAGAATAGCAGTAATCCCGCACGAGACTACATGTATGTGCCAGAATACAGGGATAATATATTGCACTAATCAGCTCTGATCAGCCATAATTCTAAAAATAGTTGAGATATGTACATGTACCGACTCCAGTTTTACAACTATATGCACCGAAGGAGACCGATCATCCGGCCGTTGTACTGGGTTCATGGAGTGGATGCTCTCGACATTTGAAGAGATTTAGATCTATACGTATATATTATATATATTCACGAGATTTGAAGGAAATAATGAATACCGGTGATTTAAGTCGCTCGTACATGATGCATGGAAGTAAATACGTGTATCTTAAGGACAGATCCTATAACATTTCCCATTTGGGATCTCAATATTGAACCATAGACTAATATATGGGCGGTATACTTATATCTAAGTTGGCATTAACAAGGCCTAGGGCTTAGCATGTAGGTACATTCCATTTCCCGAATAGTCTTAATTACATGTGCATGTACCCCAGCATTTCTGACTCACTAACGTCACGACTCGACATGCATAGATGGCATGGCTGGAAATCCATTTAAATAGGGATTCGCACCTCCAGAAAGAGGGATTTACTTTATCCTATGTTCTACCCATATCTTCGATCTGTTACGTCTTCCCAAAGAAGCTCTTAACGTATAACTTCACCTTCAAGTCTCCAACCTCTACTAGAAAATAAGACAAAAACGCTCACGCACGCACGCACACGTACGCACGATCAAAAATGCCACTGACAGAACTGCTCGATGTCCCCAACGAGGTTCTTTATGAGATTGCAGGATATCTTGACCCAGCGGGTCTTAATTCATTCCTCCGGTGCAATCGACATTTAGCACTTCTCCTAGGGCCATGTCTACATAAGATTGCCCTATCCCCAAAGAATGGGCACTCGGTGCTCTTTGAAGCAGCAATGCAGAGTAAATACAAATTGGTCGAATACATATTAAAGAACCAAATTGACGCCGATATTAATATGGAAGGCTTACCCATAAATCTTCCAGTAGCCCGACCCAGATGGCTCGACTCTATCGCCGACTGCACGACATCTCTTCTTTGCTATGCTGTGAGGTACCACCATTTTGGAATTATCAAGACTTTGGTCGAGAAAGGTGCGCGCATACCGACCCAGGAGGAGCTCAAATAGGCAGGAATGATTGAAACCCGTGACGAGCAACTTCTCGGGTATTTACTGGACAATGGATTCCCAATGCCTGAAAATGCGCTTCATTCTACTATCCATTGGGATATTGGTCCATATGACAAGCAGTACCCGGAGTGTTCTCGTGATTGGATTTTTACGTAATTCACATAAACTTTTTGAATCTTGTGCCTTGCTTTTCGGGAGTTTATTGAATATGGTGAATTTTTACAGCATCTATCTCGAGAAGGGTGCCGATATCGAGCAGAAACAATACGAGGACGAGGACACCCCACTTAACTATACAGCGTATCGCAGAAGAGATAAAATAGTCACAATGCTTCTCGATCATGGCGCCGATGTTAACACTGTAGATTTTTTGGGGCACACACCACTTCATTCAGCTGTGATGCATTATTATGATGGGCGCCGAAGTTATTTATACGACCGATTCGAGCGTCGGTATTTAGATCGTTTTGATCAGAGAGCATGGTTTCATGTGGAGCCTGCTAAGTGGGGGGAATTGGAGGCGGTATATCCAGAACGAGGCGAGTCAATAGTGCGGCAATTCTTGGACCATGGTGCCAATATAAATGCTCGCGCTCGTGATGATAAAACTGCATTACACATCGCTGCTATCTCATCAGGCATGGATGGAAGCACTAGCCTTTTGGAAATTCTTCTGCAGAACGGTGCCGATGTCGCAGCAGTTGATAGTGAAGGGGCGACAGCCCTCCATTATGCAGCGGCAACCGCTTGCACAGAGGCTGTCAGTATTCTGTTAGCAAATGGAGCAGACGTCGACGTCAATAGTCAGACAGATACTGGCGATACACCGCTCATCCGTGCTGTGAGATCTAGAGTGAAGAATCTATCAACAATTACGCTTCTTCTGGATCATGGCGCCAACATCTTGACTTGTAATTACAATGGCCTAACACCTCTTCACTACGGCGTAGAGCGTTATGGCTCAGAAACAATGGAAGGATGCAACATCTTGTATGACGAATCTATTGTTACCTATCTCCTTGAACACGGAGCCGACCCTGATTCTAAGGATTCGAGAGGTAGAACACCACTCGATCAGGCCAGAACAAATGAATCATATTCATTAACAATTGCAACCAATATGACGATTAACCGAAATGGAATTGTTAAATTGCTGTTAGAGTGGGAGAAACGTATGGAGGGTTTATTTTGACAAGGTTTGCACCTAACCAAGCTTTAAAATTCTCTAGGTAGAAGCTGACTTGTACCTATCTAAGATATCAAGGTCTAGCTCGAACCAACCCTACAGAAATGATCAGAGCGGACTTAGGGCAGTGTGATTCAAATCTTCTCCTTTTTTTCTCTATTTTTTTTAAGCATAAAATTATGCCCTTCATTTGTGACTTAGTGAAATAAATTCCATATTTCGTAGTTTTGGACCTAGGGATAGCTAATTAAACAAAAACAAAAACAAAAAAAGACCTAGGGATAGCTCAAAGATGGCGTTGCTTTGGTCGACGCGATCAGATTCTACATAGGAAACAAAATGTCGAGTGATGTGCTATGATCGATGATAATCTGCTCAGGTGTCACGTAGCGTTCAGCGCAAATTACTTGCGACCGCATGAAAGGGCTTACCTGGCCGTTAATTTAATGGAATTCCCAATAAGGATGATGTGGTGAGATTCGGGTGTAACAACAACCCTAACCCGAGGCACAGAAAAGCCACAGCATCATCATCACCAGCCACCACTCACAGGTAAGTACATGTATGCACCCGGTACAAGCCCCCTTCGCCTCCGTGGCCTTAGTGTTAGTCGCTTGCTGGACCTTCCGGCTTCCAACCAACACCTCGTTCACCAACTTGGACGACATCATTTCATGTTATCAAGGAAGAAAGGGACCCCTCTAGATCTCTTAGCCTTTGTTGTCTGAAGTGAATTCCCCTCTTTTCCCGTCTCACACTTCCTCTGCCAAATAATTTTTCGTTGATCTGGCCTCTTCTCTCTATCTGTGCTCTCAATCTACAGCTTCCAGCACCCTAAATTATCTTCCCCAGTAACCCTTGACTGAACCACGCAGGCCTTTTCTCCCCGCACCTGCAAATCAGGCCCCGGCTTGATATTAAAGACGGTGATTTCATAATGGCCGACTCACCGGAATCACCACCTCAATCACAACTTGTCTCTGCTGATACTACTGTATCCGCTAGCTTGCTTCCTCCGCCGTCTCTGGGGGATTCGCTGGTTTCCGGGTCAGTAGTAGAAGAGGGAAACATTGCGGCGCTACCGAGAATCTCTTCTACGGCTTCGTTTGCCCCAGAAGCTTGTCACATTGAGGATATTGACTCTGGTTGTGGCCATGAACACCAGAAACATAGTATATTACATTCCGCAAATCATACCCCTAATATTTCTCGGAATGCATCAAAGGTAGATGTTACCCATGGCTCTGGACTGGGCGGAAAATTGTATGATAGCAACAGCTTGCCGGAGGGAGATGAGGATGAAGGCGACAATGTCGGAGAAGGAGATGAGGACGATGGTATGCTAGAGATGAAATTACCCAATAGCCGTGGCCGCCTGGGTACGCCATCTGAAACAATTCCATAATTTCTTGTTTGAAAGTGCACGTGACTTACTTCACTCGGCACTCATAGAAAATGCCCAATTGGACCCATCTATAGTCGCCGCCACTCAAATAGATACAGCCACTCAGAAGCAGGCGAATAATCCTCCATCTTCGCCTCAATTGGAATCCCCAGCTCAGGTAGCAGGATTTTCAATGACAGAGATGTCAGAACACAGCTCCTCTCCTTCGGCAGCCATAACGCCTGAGGGAGCTTTGACAGTATCTAATCCCCCGGCACTAACGAGCACTATAGAAGAGGGAAAGGCTATGGAAACCGATTCGACACCACTTTCGCTAATCCCCGGAGGTCCGGATGACACAACGAATATAAACTGGGAGTTTGACAACATGTCGGAGCTACAGGCACATATAACTGGCCCCGATCCCTTCGAACAACTGGTAGCGGAGGCGCCATCTAGATCATCTACTTTTCCACCGGTACCTCCACACGACGAGAATTCAACGACGGCGCACTATGAAAACGAGAAGGCACTATTCAATATGATGGCTTCTGAAGTAGCCACCGGTGATGGGGATAGGGGTATGTTTGATTCACCTAGTGCTGAACACGGCGGGTTTTTTGGTGCGCCCGAGGAATCAGCAGAAGACGGTTTTTTTAATAATATTTCTCGGGGTGAAATGATGGATGATAATGATAACGTTGCGGCAATGATGGGACAAGTGCTGGATGCTGCTGGAATTGGCGGCCCCGCTCTAGAGGCCACTGAAAATGTGCAGAATGAAGAAGCTCGTTTTGAGGAGGGAATGCCGTTGATTGATCATGATTCGGAAAGGAAACAGGGGGAACCCAGTTTTTTGATGAAGAAGTCAAAGTGGATGAGATTTTCGAGGTGACTAAAGAAGATAGCGATGTCGAACAAGATCCTGCTCTGGGATTGCAGAGGAAATCAACTGAACAGGTTGTGGGTGCCGTTACTCACCCCTATCACTCTGCGACGGGCATAGCAGCAAGCATGGCTACAGTCAACAGTGAAGTTCTGAGCGCCGATGATATGGAACCTAAGAATGATTCGCTATTCAGTACTCTTGCCACAACTGCAGAAGAATTCGAAGATGATTTCTTTGGCAAAATTGGGCAAAACCCTCAACCAGTTACTTCCCAACCGCCACCAGCTGGGCAAGATGAGGATGAGGATGATGACCTTGTAGCTAGGTGGAAAGCAGCATTGGCGGGGGATGTCTTAGATGACGAAGAAGGATTCCTGCCCAGTGACGACGAGGGCTTCCTCCCCGATTCTGATGATGAAAAGGAAATGGCGTCAGTGCACCATGCAGATGGGTCACTACAAGGCTTCTCCAGTTTATCAACAGGAAATCCTGCATTGGCGCAAACCCCAAGTCCTGTACCTTCAACTACGGCTGGAAGATATGCTCCCCAGATACCTCAACCACCCGCTCAAAAGGTCTATGGAATGGCGGGATGGCAACCACAGGTGCCGCAATCTCAGCAGGCCCTTCCAAATCCGTACTCACCACATCCGCCAGTACCCACCTCTACTACGCAAGGATATTCGGCTTCTAGCCCGTATAACTCTTTTGGACAGCCTCCAAAAGTGCCCGAACCTCCAAAAGCGCAAAGTTTCGTTAATAAGAAGGAGGGATATCAAAGCCCTTATGATCTCCCCATGGATGTAATCCCCCAGGTTATCAGGAAAAGATCTAATTTTGGACAAGCTGCTTCAGGCCCTGAGGGGTTTCCACCGCCCTCAAGAAGTACTAGCATGGGAAGTGCATTCTCCCCGGCCACTGCTGCCGGACCACCGAAGCCAAAGCCTCAACCGCAACAATTCTTTGAAGAACTTCCTCTACCTCCAAAGTCTAGAGCGACATCAGCAATGGGATATTCTTCAACTCAGATGCTGCCGAGGAGTGCGGAGGGATTTGTACCACTCACTGGACCCCAGAGGTCAGGTAGTACACAGGGCTTTTATTCTCAGAGTCCTCAAAAGCAATTTGCACATCCAGCTATGCCATCACCACAACAAGTACAAGCACAACCGGCCAATGCTGTCAACAGCAGGTACTCCCCTGCCCCAAGGGCGGCAGGTGGGTATGTTGCACCTCCAGCATCTGCCCCCGCAGCACAAGGATATCAACCTCCACCAGTGCCAGTTGCTGGCCCGAGTGCGAATGTTCCATATGCTTCCCCGAGTGCGCCGCCAGCTGCCCTTTCCAAATACCCCCCCAGACCTGCAGGACCTCCACAGGCCACATCCGCCGCACATTCTCTTCAGCCCTCAGTTCGTCAGCAGGTTACAGTTCCTCTACAGACCTCCATCCCTCAACCGCCTGGACACGATGATGCGCAACTCCCCGCGCTACGACGCTTCCCGAGCGACCATCACGTGATGCATTCATCAAGACCAGGGACAGCAAGGTCTATCTCGTTATCGACTACAATGGATATACCACGAGAAGAAGAGGAAATAGTAGAAGACGCGCCAAACGCTGCGGAAAATAGTACAGGTCCTGTCTCTGTGCCCACGGCACCTAACAGTCGTTATGCCCCACCGAGGGGCCCTGGGACGCCTACTCCCGGGCAGGCTTCGCGCTCAAGTACTTTCTCGCCTCCATCGGGATCGCCAAGATATATCGCCGGCTCTCCCGTAGATGCATTTTCTCCTCCACCAAGAGCTCAAACACAATCCCCAGGAATGGCTTTTGGGAGGAGTCATAAAACTGCACAACGATCCAGAGAGCCATATGAACGACCAAGCTCAGCGTTCGCACACACCAGTACACACTCTCACTCTTCACTTAATTTGCACCAGCGAGCGCAATCCTTGGAAGTCAACTTCATGGCTCCAACAGATGAGACTGGACGCGACATGCTAAAGCGATGGCAAGGTGCTCCGTTATTTTGCTGGGGATTCGGCGGAAATGTAGCCGTGATGTTTCCTCGACGTGCCCAACGATACTCATCTGATGGACTGCAACCGATGATTAAGTGTTCACCTGGAGAAGTCAAAGTCAAAAATATCAAGGATATTCTTCCACTCAAAGAAATAGAAGGCAAATTTCCGGGGCCTGCCTGGAGTGGAAGCAAAAATAAAGGAAAGAAAAAGGAAATGCTGCCATGGATGACAAGTAAAATCGAAGCCTTGGAATCGGAATTGGGGGGGCAAGGGAAACGCGCGGAAGAAAAAATCTTGTTGTGGAAAGTTGTAAGATTGCTACTCGAGTATGACGGTGTCCTGGAAGGGAATTCCGAGGTAGAGAAAGCTGTCAGAGTAGTTCTCACGCCCGAAGTCCTCGCCGAGGGAGAAAGCGATGCCAACGTTGGATACGGATCTTTTACAATGGTCGGTGATATTTCAGCAAATACGCAAGGTCCAAGTGCAGATCGAGTCGATCCTGAGGCAGTCCGGAGTATTAAAACCAATCTTCTCAAAGGCGATCGAACAGCCGCTGTCTGGCACGCAGCAGATAAGCGGCTTTGGTCACATGCTCTTCTGATCGCCGGTACAGTTGGAAAAGATCTATGGAAACAAGTGGTACAGGAATTTGTTAAGCATGAGGTCAAGACTCTCGGCGAAGGGGTGGAGAGTTTAGCGGTGCTATATGAGATTTTTGCTGGAAATTGGGCTGAGAGCGTAGATGAACTTGTCAGTGCTAGCACTAGAATAGGTGTACCTATGTATGGCGGTGTGCCCAATGGAGCGGATGATGTTGAGGATAAGTTGGACCGATGGAGGGAGACTCTGGGGTTGGTATTGAACAACCGGAGCCCCGGAGATTCAGAGGCGATATTGGCACTTGGGAGATTACTCGTTTCCTATGGTAGAATTGAAGCTGGTCATATTTGGTAACGTTCCATCTTGATTTGGATTACTTTAACTATTACTAATCTCGTGGTAATAGCTACATATTTGCTCGCCAAGGAGCTATGGGAGGCGTTGGGGCGATTTTTGGAGGACATGACGATCCAGTATCTCATTTTTCATTATTAGGTGTTGATCCGGCAAATTTTACACCGAATGATGTTGATGCTGTTATGCTCAGCGAAGTTTACGAGCTAGCCCTGGCACTTACGGCTACACCGCACCCTGCATTCCCCCACCTACTACCATATAAACTTCAACGAGCTATGGTCCGTGCTGAAAATGGGAACAAGAGCGAGGCGCAGAAATACGTTGACGCCATCGAGGCTGCCATGAGAGGCTGGGGCAAGCCATCTCCATATTTTAACGCAGGTTTTATAGCCAGGTTTGAAGACATGAAAACAAGATTATCAATTGCACCTAAGGATAATACACCTGGGAGTACTACAACTGGCGCTGGAAAATGGCTTCCGAAGCTGAACTCTGAGGTTGTCGCCACATCTATATGGGAACACTTCCACACGTTTGTCAACGGCGAGAAGGATGGAGATGGTAATGGGGCGGAACCATCCGGGACTGATCCTACTGCAGGTCCCTTTGGGAGGATCTCAAGTGAGAGTCCAGTAATTAGTAGGGTTCAATCTAGTGCAGATCTTTATGGAGGGTACAACCCCACACCAAACTACGGCGCGAGCCCACCAGCTCCCACAAATGGATTCCAGCAGCAGCAACCGTACCAGCCCACTGCGCCTACAAGTGGCGCCGGAAGTAAATATGCTCCCCAATCTAGGGGTTCCTTTGATAACCCAAGCAATTCTTATACTCCGATGTCCAATCATCAGTATAAATCGTCGACTGACTCGCCTGGCACTGGATATGGGCCTAGCTCGTCGAATGGAAATTCAGGCGGGTATGGGGGTTATGGGGAGGGATATGGCGGGGCTTATGAACCAAGTGTGCCTAGTGGAAATCCCTACGGATCGGGCGGATACTCGCAGCCGAACCTACAACAGAATAATCCCTACGATAGTCCACAAGAAACCTCCCATTCAACAACTGATTACGGGAACTCTAGTACTTATAACCGCACGAGCTCGTTCGATGGACAAACCCCCACAGCCCCCACAGCGAGCTATGATTCACCTGCCGCACCAGAAACGCCTTCCTATGGAGGTTATGAGCCGCCGTCGAGTGGCGGATATAATCCGCCATCTGGTGGAGGATATGAACCTTTATCTAGCGGCGGTTACGAGCCTCCGAGTGACGGTTTTGTTCCATTTGAACCTGTAAAGACTGACGACGATGAGAGTCATGATAAACCGAAGCCAAAGAAGAAAAGTTTTATGGATGATGACGATGACGACGAGCTGTTGAAACAAGCAGAGAAGATGAAGCAAGAGGAAGCGAAGAAAAAGGCCGAGGAGGAGAAGAAACAGGCTGCTGGTAAGTCAATTGCTCGCATTAAAGACCAGAGACTCAGACACTGACCCCGTTTCTAGACTCTAGCGCAAAGAAAGGTTGGCTCACTGGCTGGTTTGGTGGTAAAAAGGAACAGAATACGCAGGGCCCAATTAAAGCTAAGCTTGGCGACGAGTCTTCCTTCGTCTATGATCCAGACTTGAAACGCTGGGTCAACAAAAAGGCTGGGGAGCAGACCCCTACTGCTGCGAAACCCGCACCACCTCCAAAAAGAACATCAACGCCAGGTAGCACTGGTATGCCATCTAGGCCTGGCTCCGCTGCACCACCTTTGTCTCCACAAGTACCAACTCCAGCGATGACGCCAATTTCACCTACTCCTACTACTGCACCAACTACGCCCACCACCTTGTCTGCACCGCCAGCTCCATTTGGAAGAACCCAAAGTCCTGCGATGAGTGCTGGGCAAGCATCGCCATCTCTTTCATCGCCCCCATTAACAGGAGGACCACCAATTGGAGGACCGCCAATGGGGGGATCGCCAATGGGGGGATCGCCAAGGGGAGCATTAACGGGAGGGCCACCAGGCGGGCCGCCCGGTGGGAAGCCACCTGGTGCGGGGCCGCCTAGTAGGCCGGCGACATCAATGAGTGTAAGAGGCGGAGATGCAATGGATGATTTATTAGGACCACCAGGAGCAAATGTTAGTAGAAAGAGTACACCGGGAGTGGGTAGGAAGGCCAGAGGCAAAAACCGGTATGTTGAAGTTATTCCAGGACAGCAGTAATTTGGGGCCGGGGATTGTGGTTTGGTGGTTTGTAAAAAAGGGTAATTCGTGGCTATACTGCGGTGACTGGGTTGGTATTTTGTTTCTTTTTGTGCTCGCCCTAGCTGGGTGCCACGGCTGGCTTTCCTATTTTCGTTCGCTTTTGTATTTTTGTTTTATATTTCCATTCGCAAACGGTGCTATTTTACCTGGCCCTGTCTTTGTTGTTGTTTTAGGTGACGGTGTTTATATATGCGGATGATAATGGGCACGAGTGATGGTGGACTTATGAAACTGTCTTTTGGATACTTCTAAACTTAAATACCCTACTCATAAGATAGATCTATATTCCTCGCATATTCATGGAAGTATTCAAGTTTTATTCTATCAACCCTAACCCCAATCACACCAAACGTAATTAATCCTGAAGATAAAGATTTTACGAGTTTTGACATTGTCTATATACTTGGAAGTTATTGCGCTACTATCGGCAGATTTATAATTTAACTCTCTTTCAGCAAGTGTACCCTGTATATAGCTGACTACATGTAGTGTTGAAACTACAAACTAAAACCTAATCCAACCTATTGGGTTCTAGGTCCAAAGAACAATGTCTACATGTAGGTGTCGAGGTTATGGTGGAGATGTGTCCTTGTTGTCAAAGCTAGAGTACAAAGAGAATATCTGGATGGAGGGGAGATCCTTGGTCCGCGAGTTGAGGTGGCGTATCTTTGTTTTGCGGGTACTGTCAAAGCGCTTGCGGTCATTATTTCGGTAGGGGTCAACAGGGTTGGGTACCTGCAGGGTAGGGCTGGAAACGAAACGACTGGTGGGTCGGGAGAGTCCTTAAATTAACGTTATAGTTTGGGGGTATTCCGCCACTTTGGAGGCGGTTAGATGGTAGCTCCATGAAAGTGGGAGTTAATTGACAACATCTACCTATCAACGTGATGACACTCGGTGGGTGCATGTGGCAATATATTACCTTATGTATACTCATGCGCTCGCTTTATAATTATAATTATGTTGCAGAGAAAGGTTAGGGATTGGGTAGTGGATATATGGGAGGACATTAAAAAGTCAGCGGGCGCCAGCTAGAGCTCAATCTAGGGATTTTGAGATTTATGATTTTCTGCGACTATAGCTAACTGGCGCCACTTGAATATGTAGCTTCATCGAATTAAATTCATCCTATGCGCGTGGGGTTGGGAGTTAACACGATAACCCCTTTTTTGAGTGAATATTTCTACCTACCTAAATAGCGATATATATATCAATATGTCGTCCGGAACTTATGCTTACTGGCTCTTGAAGCTGATTTGCACATGTATTTTCACACGGGTTGGAATTGACGGGCTCTGCTCCGTTGCAGAACGAACGAAAGAAAGGAAGGAGGAAGGAAGGGAAGAATCTTTTGGTAGAGAAATTTTTCGGCCGAGATTGAGGTACTTAGAAGTAGGTCTTGAATTGATGCCGGACTCCGGAGTTCAGATGGAAGGAGGTTTGAAGAGCTAGAGGGATTTAAAGATAAGGTATATATTGGGTACGAAAATTGTATCCTGTATAAGCAGCTTGTATAAGCAGCTTGTGTATATATTACAGCAGGTAGGGTAGGTACATGTAGGTACCACAGATCAATATCGGGGTTAATTCGGGGGTATATTCTTGTAGCTCTATAGCTAGGTAACTCAGTACCTTGTTATTCAACTGCAGCTCTATGAAATAGTATAGTGGCGTGCTAATATTGGGAAGTACATTACAAGGCCTGTATGGTACGAGACCTACGCGTGGGCCCATGGGATATAACCATCGGAACGAATAGGGCAGGTACTAGGTATGGCACGCACAGATAGGGCGGATTGTTCGGAAGCACAATTCAGTACAGCGATCATTTCCAACGAAACAAGACTTTTTATTCCATCTATGTCCTGTCCTACGTACCTGTACGTACCGTATGGCCATGATTTCCTACCCTGTCTTCCCTCACCTACCCTGCATAGAGTAGCGGGACAACATTACAGTTTCCCGGAAAAGTAAACACCAACATATATGTACATCACCTGGCACGGGGTCCTACAAGCGAATATCTAAGCCTTCTATATGAATAAAGCCGATCTTATTATTCTCGCCCCATGGCCCACCTTACCCCGCTCGATATACCTTATAACCTCCATGGTCAAACTAGTCCTGATTCTCATAAATCACCGAGGACAGCGTTGTGACTAGTACATGTAATAATCGATCCTGCGTCTAGATCTTTGAGCCAACGTGATCTAGGCCAGTATGAAAAGTCTCCAGTATAGTTCTGCAATTTTGCACTTCCACGAAGAAAGAACAGTCATGATACTGAGCCGGAGTAGAAGATGATCATGATGATGATCATGATCGCTACGGGCCGTGACCCTGTGCTGCTGGTTGAACTGGTGGGGTAATATCTTCAGGGACGAGGGATTTTCCCTGGGAACAATAAAATTTGTGGCATGTGAAATTTGTGATCTTAAATGCAGTACACCATTGCTTGTACGATGAAACAAAAGTAGTATAAAGGTTAACCCGAGAATACACCGATAAGCCTGCTGCAGGGGTAGATACATGCAGATACACATGAAGTAGATGGAGATAAACTTTACGGGTAGCCTGACCGATTCACAATTTGACAGGGGAGTTGGGGGGGTTCATTGTAACGTCACACAGAGGAGGGACGTTGAGAGAAAAGAGGGGGTAATATATGAGAGGCATTTAATAGGTACAAGGTGTACAGTTACATTTAGGTCTAGGTTTGCGTAATATTTACATGTAGTTTAGGTAGGTATTGGAGCTCTGCAGTGTTTCGTCAAACGTGACTTTGGGCAGGCATGTCATGGTTTACAATAAGCCGTCTTATGATTGCCCCGAAATAGCTAGGTTCAATTACATCACGGCCACGAGACACCAAGGGGCTTTTCGCCATCTGTGGAATTGACTTGTTTACTATATGCATGTAGTTGTAAATTGTAAGCTGTTGTTCGGAATGGATGTAGTACAACCTTGGTATTGATGTATGTACTTGCTTTTTGGTACCAACTTTAGTGGCTTGGCTTGGCGCGGTAGGTAGCAACGACCGACCACTAACATCGGATGTTGAGTCTTTGTTTGATCTGATGAAGCCTGGAAGATTATGTGAGGATCTAGCGAATTTCCTGGTGAAATCATGCACTGAGTCGCGAATGATACGCTCAGGAGGTGTGTCATCGGTTGCCCACAAATATCTGGCCTTAGGCTAAGGTTTATAATTTACCATATAAGTATCTATGCGATATGTTTCCTTTAAGCTTCACTGTGTCGTGGCATCAGAGCTTACCACTCGGGTCGTAATAAACAAATATCATTACGAACCTATCAAACATCACATTGATGGTCATTCACTCTCGCCTCCAAAGCAGACAAGATCTAGAGCCAACTGTAAATAATCACAAGGATTGAAACCGAAACGCTAACCACCTGAAAACAAGTATGATATTGACTAAATATTTCTTGGCGTTCGGTAGAGGGGGTATAAACTCAACCGATACAAGGTTTTCTCCGAGCAAGTGCAGAAAGTCATCATGAGATGAGATGAGACCCGGACCGTAGGATACAGAGCTTCAAGATTCACTGGTCAGGCTATGGTCCAGTGGACACATGCTCACAAAGCTTTATTATATTATATCACTATTATCAATTATGAGTACCTTTATAATATAGAGCGGTGGTGGTTGTGAACTACTATCCAGCTGCGGGGTGTGCATAAAGTAACGGAAAGGATCGGCGTGCGGGGAAAAACCCTACATTTGTCCCAAACTCCGCACCACCATCACCACTTACTTAGACAGGGTTCTCTCATAAGAGTTTGGAGGGTTGTTCTTGTGGTAAGTTCGCGCTCGTGATTCTGACATAACCCTAAAGAAATAATGCACTATGGTCTTGCCATAACCAGTGTTTTGGAACCTTTTTCTCTTCTTTAGGGCATTATGGGGAGATAAAGGGGGGTATAACCGCCCGAAGGATCCGGCGCAAAAATCAGGACCGGTGATTTCCATGGGCCGAGTCACAGATTAGGTGAAACGAGTGATTGTGTGTGGTGTTGTTATTAAGGGTGGTAGTGATTAATAAGCGATGTTGAAGGACCTTAGTGGAGGGGGTTAGGGGAGTTGGCCTTGTATCGAATCCTAGTAGGAAGTGTTACTAGATACGGATGTTCCTAACCACATGTATGTACTGTTTGTAAATACCCAGCTAGAGGCACAAAAATGTCGACTAGAACTTTTCATGATCAGGCAGTTGATGACTTCCCTCTTACCCATGATCACACAGTACCACTCAAGTACCGTCCATCTACTATGCGGGGATTATCTTCTCTTCTGACTGGCGATCGATGTCAACGGCTTTCACGGGAGAACGAAGCGAGTGAGTAGTACTACATTACTGGGGGAGCTGCAGAAGAAAGAAGAAGGAGGTTTCACTGATCGCTGGTAGGTGCTATGCATTCCGGGATCCCCTGCATGGGCCAGGAACCTGAACATGAAATGAAGACGACCGACTGACTGGCCTGGCTGTCAACAGAAATGTCAACAATCCTGGTCCCCTGGCTAGCACAACGAAAGGGGAGAGGTCCTGCTGAATTTCTTTGTTACACCCAAAGCCCTGATCCTAGGTGATACTAGTGAATGTTGTCCGCGCAGGCTGGCAGGCTGCTATTAGTTTAAGCCACAAAGTTATTCTATGCAGGGGCTTGGTATTTTTTCTTCATGACCATGGTCAAACAAATGATTGCTGTATACCACACCCACCACCTCTTTGATCAGGGTCCTTAAATCATCTCTGTCATTCCAGTGCAGTACTATATAGCTCCACCAGTTTCTCCCACCAACCTCTCGGATTCTTCATCTACATTCCTGCTTGATCATAGCAACAAACATACTCACTCTCTATACTTTCCTTTATCATTTGTTGTTGTGCGCAGAATAAGAGTAATTCTTTATTTCTCCCTACTATTACTATTA